TATATATGCCTATACATAAATTAAAAAAAAATTGTATACATATATATATACATATATATATATATAATTCTACATATATATTTATGTAATTATTTTACATAATTAGGTATCTTAATTAATTACAATTAGCGGGACCTGCCTGACAACCCATGCCGAAAGTAAAGGCAATTTAATTTGCTAGCACTATATTTAACCCTATAACTTTCCAAGACACCATAAAACCTGTACATGGGGGGTACTGTTCTACTCGGGAGACTTCGCTGAACACAAATATTAGTGTTTCAAAACAGTAAAGTGTATTACAATGATGATATCACCAAAATTGGCGTTTTTTGCATTTTTCACACAAACAAATACTAACGCTAACTTTGGCCAGTGTTTGTGACCAAATGGCTACTAAAAAAGACTGGACGTACCCCATTTGCAATACCTTGGGTTGTCTACTATTGCAAATGGTATGCCATTATGGGTGTAAATTTCAATCCTGGGCTACTATAAAGTCCCAAAGGCAACATAACCAATCTGGCGAATTTCAATTTCAAATGTAACGTGCTATATTTGACCCTGTAACTTCGCAAAACGCCATAAAACCTGTACATAGGGGGTACTGTTTTACACGTGAGACTTTGCTGAATACAAATATGTGTATTTTATTGCAGTAAAAGCAAACAGTATTATGACATTGACAGTTAAAATGTCATGTAGAACTAAAAAAAATCAAACAAAATCTTACTTTCTCCCATTGTTTTCATATTAAATTATGTTTCATAGCTACGTATTTGATATTAAATGAAAGCCCTGTTTCCCCTGAATAAAATGATATATAATAAGGGTTGGTGCATTTAATATGAAAGAGGTGAATTACAGTTGGACAGACATGTAGCGCAAATGCCAGGTTTTGTTTACATTTTGTTTTGTTCACAACGTGTACATTTGGCTCTGTCCTTAAGGGGTTAAATATTGCAGTTTATTGATAAGCCTTCTATGTGCAACAGTGACAATAGCCTTACTGAAATCTAGGTAAGCAATGTCTACTGCACCACCCTGATCTATTATTTTAGTTACCCAATCAGAAAATCAATAAGATTAACAATAATTGGTTAACTAAATCTGTTAATGGTTTTGCTAGTACACCACTAAGTTCTTTTAATAACTTTGGGTGCATTCCATTATGTCCCATTGACTTGGCCTTACTTTTGACAGTTGAAATAGAACCTCTTCCACTGTAAACTCACGTGTAATAAATGACTCATTTATCCTTTTTCTTAACTGTAAATACCGAACAATAATATTCATTGAGGCAGTCAGCTAGACCTTTATCCTCTTCTACATACCTTCCTTCTTTTGTTTTTAATCTAACTAATCCTTGTTTTACTTTTCTTTTCTCATTTATGTATCTAAAAAAGTGTTGTACCCTTTTTTTACTGACTGTGCTATTTTCTCTTCTGTGTGTGATTTGGAAGCTCGTATAACTTGCTTAGCCTCTTTCTGCCTAATCTTATAGAACATTCTGTTTTCCTCACTTTGATTTTTTTTATAATTACTAAATGCTAACTTTTTGTTTTTAACTATTTTGGCCACACCTGCAGAGTACCACAGTGGTTTCTTGAATTTTTTTGCTTTTACTGACAAGCCTAATGCAATTTTCTGTTGCCTTCAGTAGTGCAACTTTTAAATAATCCAATTTTTCTTGGACTCCATTTAAATTGCTCCAGTCTGATAATGACTCCTTTACACATATTCTAATTTTAGAAAAGTCTGTTTTTCTAAAGTCTAAAACTTTTGTTTTTGTGTGGTGTGACTCAGTCACTGTTCTTATATTAAACCACATTGACTGATGATCACTTGATCCTAAACTTTCACCTACAGTAATATCTGATATCAAATCTCCATTTGTTAACACTAAATCTAGTATGGCCTCTTTATGAGTTGGCTCCTCAACGATTTGTTTTAGAGACAATCCCAGTAGGGAGTTTAGCATATGTGTGCTCCTGGCACAAGAAGCTATTTTTGTTTTCCAATTCACATCAGGAAGATTAAAGTCACCCATGATGATAACTTCCCCCTTCATTGTCATTTTAGCTATTTTCTCAACTAGTAGATTATCTAACTCTTCAATTTGTCCTGGGGGCCTATAAATCATACCTACATGAGTTACTATGTTTTTACTAAATTCTAACGTAACCCAAACGGACTCTATGTTCGCCTCACTAACTTTTATTAGGCTAGATTTTATGCTATCCTTCACATACAGGGCCACCCCTCCCCCTTTCTTGCCTTCCCTGTCTTTTCTAAATAAAGAGTACCCTGGTATTGCTATGTCCCAGTCATTTTTCTCATTATACCATGTCTCAGTAACATCGACTAAATCTACACTATCACTTGCCATTATTGCCACAAGTTCATGGATCTTATTCCTTAAACTGCGAGCATTTGTAGACATGACTCTAAGCTTATCATTTTTAACACACTTGCTACATGCACCTTCTGTCCTTGTTTTGGGGGACAATTGGATTGATGTCGGATCACCCTTTTGCCCCCCCTCCTAGTTTAAATACAAACCTCTGAATTGCTCACTGAGAACATTTGTTCCCTTTTGAGAAAGATGCAAACCATCTTTTTTGTACAGTTTATTTCCATTCCAAACAGAGCTAACATGAAAAATAAAGCCAAATCCTTGCTCACGACACCATTCACCAAGCCACAAGTTAAAGTCCCTAATACGCATCCGCCTGTCGTTCTGAGTGTTATGCACAGGCAGAACTTCAGAGAATGACAGTGTGGAAGCAACCTGCCATATATCATTGGCAAAAACACTAAAAACGTCCTTAACCTCTGAAACCTCATTGCAAGCCAAGTCATTTGTTCCTAGATGGGCAAGTACATCCAATTCCCCTTCCTGCTTTGCTCGCTTAACAATATTACAGATACATCTCCTGTCTCTGTGAGCAGTAGCTCTGGGAAGACACCTCACAAGACCACCATTGTCCATCTCCACACCTCTTATGATGGAATCCCCCAACAACAACTGCTTTCTATTAGGCCTCACCATAGTCTCCAAGCCTGTCTCCACAACACCACTAGCCTCAGTGCCTGAGCCTGTCTCCACTCTGAAATTGCAGAAAATTAATTATGTAGAGCAACAGACTGTGCAATATGCCTTTTATCCAAAACTCTAAGTCTACCAGATCCTACAGTAACCCATCTGCCATTCCTAGTATGTCTCTGCGGCAGTAGCTTTGGAGCAGCTCCAGCCTGAGTTTGTTTACCAGATAATTTACAAATATCAGACTTCAAAAATACAATCTCCTGCCGCAAGATAGAGAACTGTCTACAGATTAGAAAACAACCAAACCTCCAAAAAGTGGAACGTGAAACAAATGCATAGCAACTATTACACTTAACTAAGTCTGCCATTCCAATGAGGTGAATAGTTTAAATCAAACTAATCTTAACTTTTTATTTATCCTTCTGAATACCTCAGATTACCTCTAAGTTATCTCCAGAATATCTCCAACCACACACTTAGAAACAGCACTCTCCAGAATATCTCCAACCACACACTTAGAAGCAGCACTTAGATGAAGTAACCAAGCTATATTAGCCAAGCTAATGACAACAACCCTTATATAACTCCTAAAATCACCACGCACTAGGAATGTTTAACACCTGGGTAGGCCTCTGCTTATTTGCAAACAATAGCTAATTAAACAGCAATCAATAGCAAGTAGCTAACTAATCAAATCAAATGCCTTATAATTACCAACAGGAAATCAAACCTTGTGCAATCAGTAACCTTTTCCTACAGATGAATCTTACCTGTAACAGTAAAAAAGAAAACTCTTAGCACAAATCTTAGAGAGTTGACAGTTGAAGCTTCTGTAAAACTCTCCAGAATATCTCCATTCTGGAGCTGACGAGGAGAGATAACTAAATTCTGAGCTGATGAGGAGAGATAAATAAATGCAAGTCTGTTATTTCACAAGTAAATTCCATCTGCCTCCAGTGCCACCTGTGTTTTATGAGAATTCAGTTCTTTATAAATAAGTACACATCTCTGAATAGTATGTGTGTCTTTTTATATTGAAAGAGCTGACCCGCTGAGCATAAATATAACTAGCTATTTTTCCAGATAAAAAAGTGAGGTATCAGAATATTACCTGTGGGGAAGGAAGAAAAGTAAAAATAAATAAATAAATAGATAAATAAACGGTATACAAGCACAAAAATGTTTTTACACAACAGACACCATAAATGTATGCATTAAAAATTCCATAAAAGAACATAATCAAATGCTACCTGATCTGAACAAGAGAGACATATTCTCTGTGAAATATTATGCCTACATGATGAGACAGGGTCCACAACACCAAAAGCCCTTGTCACATCCCAGGTATAAAGAGGGTCAGTGCCAGGATTTTTGGCAACATAGGTGAAGATGCATTTTGCCACCCCATCCCCCCCACAAACATTTGCTAATTGTCTAATATCGCCCCATTTGAATTTATTTCCCTTTTTAGAGTATGTTATCCCCTCTTTAGCATGTCTTACACCCCTTTGTGTATATCTTACTTCCCCACCAGCCCCTTTGTGTATCTGTTTCTCCCCCATTCCTCAGCCCATTTTGTGTGTCCCTACCCCCAGGTCCCTTTGTGTTCCTCTTTTCTACCAAGCCCTATAGTCATATACATACAGGCAAAAATGCATACATGCAACAATAACCATCGGCCGAAAAGCAAAGCAAAAGTCACATTTTGAATTCACATGAAATTTAATTACAGTTGAATTATGTATATATTCAAATAATCGAAGACGTAAAGAAACCCAGATCACTTTAATATTTAGAGTGGATGCTGCTTAACCCCTTAAGGACACATGACTAGTGATGTCCCGAACGGTTCGCCGAACGGTTCGCCACAGATGGCGAACATATGCGCTGTTCAGTCCGCCCCCTATTCGTCATCATTGTGTAAACTTTGACACTGTATCTCACAGTCAGCAGACACATTCTAGCCAATCAGCAGCAGACCCTCCCTCCCACACCCTCCCACCTCCTGGACAGCTCACTAAGAATGCAGCTTCACAATGAATGTAAAATGGATGCTGTCCAGGAGGTGGGAGGGCCTGGGAGGGAGGGTCTGCTGCTGATCGGCTGGAATGTGTCTGCTGACTGTGAGGTACAGGGTCAAAGTTTACTCAATGATGACATAGGGGGCGGACCGAACAGCGCATGTGTTCGCCATCCGCAGCGAACCGTTCGGGACATTACTACACATGACATGTGTCACATGTCATGATTCCTTTTTATTCTAGAAGTTTGGTCCTTAAGGGGTTAAAGGGACACTACAGTCACCAAAATAACATAAGCTGTATAAAGCAGTTTTGGTGTACACTTTATGCTCACTGCTCAATTATCTGCCGTTTAGGATCTATATCACTTGTTTATGCAGTTCTAGTCACACTCCTTGCATGTAATGTGCACAGCCTTTCTAAACACTTCCTGTAAAGTGAGATTTAATGTTTACACTTGTTTTATTGAACATACTGTTAAATTTAGAATTTCTTTTCTCCTGAACTATTAATAGCTTGTTAGACATTGCAGGAGCCTCCTGTGTGTGATTAAAGTTCAATTTACAGGGCAGGACATTCAAACGCTTCTAAAATTAACATCTGATTTAAATTCAAAAATGTGTTTTCATGGAGGCTGTGTGAGCCACAGCCAGGGAAGGTGTGGTTAAGGTTGCATAAACAGAAACAAAAGTGATTGAACTCCTAAATGGCAGAGAAATAAGCAGTGAGACTTCAGAGGTGTGATCTACACATCAAAACTGCTTTGTAAAGCTAAGATGTTTTAGAAACTATACTGTCCATTGAAATAGTTTTTGCTCACATAAGTGACCAAACTATGAGGATGCTAAGAATGCTGCTGCAAGCAACACAAATAGCAAGTATTCTACTGATGGGCAATTATACCAAAAGTGCACTCCAAAGTAAAAAGCACCCATAGCCAGAACCTCAAGCACATTCATTTACACCAACCCTATTACAGCATTAAAGTCTGCCTATAACCTATAATTCTGCTTTGTGAAGCCAAACAAGAGGGATTTGTATACCCATAGTAATGTCCTGCTCCTGATCTGCTCTCCTGGCTTCCCAACCACTGGCTCTGTATCTGGACTTGGCCACTTTTGCCCCTTTTCTCTAGACCCGGAATGTGAGACTGCCTATTCTTTTCTGATCTTAGCAGTTAAATTTAATCAATAGGGCCCCATGTTTTTCTAGGGAAGTCTCTTAAACTGCAGACCTCTCTGTAAGTGGTTTACTGCAATGGTATGATATAGCCTGTCATGGTGTTCCTGCTTCCCAACTCTCAAATCTATCCTCATTTAGCCTGATACAAAAAAATATGTTAAAAAATAGTTAACATTTTTGAATTCCCTGAATACCATGAACTGTGTTAAATCGGGGCTTAATATATACTTTAATTTATAACTATGCATTTGAAATATTAAATATTTTTTTTCTGCATTATCTTTGTTTTTGTTTGGTTATGTTCAACATCTTTGATATTAGTAGTTATTTATTTGTTTAGTTTGTTTCAGCTTTTGGCTGCTGTCCTGGCTACTGTATATTTCCTGGCTACTGTGAATTATTTTTCTGTTAAATGTATTTTCTGTGGTAATAGAGAAACTTTCCTTTTTCTTTAAAGTAAATATTTTTCTCTAAAGCAATTTTCTTTCAAAAGTTATACTTTTGTCTAATATGTTGTGACTTTATATTAGTTCAGTATTGGGAACTATTTTTAGAGTTTGCCGTTTGCATTCTTTTTTCGAGTTTAGACTACCTGCTTTTTGTTAAAATGCAGGTTATAGGGAGGTCATTCTATACAATATCCTTTTAGATTATTTTTTATCATTGATTTTGCTATAAGCACTATCTATATTTTGTATATAATCTTCCAGTATTTGTAGCATGTTGATATTTTAACACTTGTATATGTACTTTCTGTGTATCTTTAACTGTTATAATTCTGAAATTATTGATTTATAGCATGTATATTTACTTGAAACTTACTTGAAACAACGTGTTAAGTAAAATATATACATGCAATATTGGATATCAATAATTTCTGTCTTTAAAAACCTCAGAACAAAACAGAAAGAAGGAAATAATAGTGTAATATATTGTATCAATTTAAAAGATTTTAACCAATAGAAGACTAATGCACACTTACTAGAGCTGCTAAGAGCTCTGCTGTGTAACACTTGGACTGTATAATCCCCATCTAGGATGTGTGGGTATTCAATGCAATGGGCTTCTAAACATTCATTTAGCATGTAGATAAAAGCAGAGAGAAACCCAAATGGCACAGTATATTTCTGTAAAATGTTAAGTAATTAAGAAAAGGTATCCTACCTCAGAGACTTCTGAGGAAGCCAAACCTAGGTGAAACGCGTCAAGTGGTACTGGCGCACTTTGTTTTTAATACTATATATATATATATATATATATATATATATATATATATATATATATATATATATATATATATATATATATATATATATATATACACACACATACATTAAAAAAAAAATCTACTTTTTATTTATATAGTCCCTATTTTTTATTTTTACTTTGCTGCTGTTCTACTATCCTGCATATCCCATGTGGGGATTATACCACCAGAGCAAGCTATTGCTCTTAAAACTGTAAGAAAGATACCTCTTCTTAATTACTTAATATCGTACACAAATATAATGTGCCATTGGAGTTTCTCTCTGTTTTTCTCTACTATAGTGAGCACCGATTTCTGTACTTTTGTAGTATATTTACTTAACTATGCATTTAAACTGTGGATAGTTTTCTGGAACCCAGGCTTGTACAAAGTCTTGACAAAGTTTCTTGTGTTTATCCCTCTTGCTGGTGAAATAAACTCCTCTTATTAATTTGTTTTGCTGGGTTTGTGTGTCCTCTTGCTAGTGGAATAAACTGGTTACTTGACTCCATCATTTGCACAGCTGTTGATATATTTTAGCCATAATGAAAAACCTACTATAGGGGACTGTGCAGGTCCCTGTACATGGCAGAGCTGAGAGAACAAGGAAGCCACTGTGCATCAAGGCCTATAACCGGCATATGGGTGGGGTTGATCTGGCAGATCAGCTGCTGCAGCCCTACCTAATTATACGAAAGACAAGGGCCAGGTACAAAAAGGTTGCAATCTACCTAATGCAGATTGCAACCCACAATGCTTTCTTGTTGTTCAAAAAAGCAAACCCTGGGACGCAACTGATATGTTTACAGTTTCAGCTTCAGATCTTTCGGGGATTTTGTACCTTGATGCACCTGCTCCCCGGGCGGTGATGGGAGAGAGCAGAGTTGGGGCTACACATTTTATTTTTAAAATTCCCCCTACTGCGGCAAAGCAGAATCCCCAAAAAAGATGCAGGGTCTGTTTTAAGAGGGGGCAGAGAAAAGATAGTGTATATCACTGTCCTGATTGCCCGGGACAGCCTTGACTCTGCATTGGAGACTGCTTCAAACGATACCACACTCCTGGGTGTCCTTAGGAAGCCTTGCAGAAAACAACCTGGGGTGTTTTCTTGCAATAACCAACAATGGGTTCTCCTAAATCACAGTCAAAAAGCAGTGTGCATGTGTAAAAATGAGGATTGAACAGTTACCTCCACACACGTTCTTCAACTTTTTTTATTTTTTGTCTGGCTAGAAAAAGTTGCATCAAAGCACTCCACATGCAATACCTCGGGGTGTCTACGTTTCACGTATGTACCCTTTTGTGGCGATATATAAAACTGGGGTATGTGATAATCCCCAAGCTAAAGACAGGCCTATCAGAAGAAATACTCTCAATTTCAACTCAAATTGCAAGTCATACAATTGTAACCATACCTTCCCAAAATCCTGGCAAACCTATGCATGGGGGACATGGGTGTCCTTAGAAGGCCTTGCAGAAAACAACCTGGGGTGTTTTCTTGCAATAACCAACGGGCTCTCCTAAATCACAGTCAAAAAGCAGTGTGCGTGTGTAAAAATGAGGATTGAACAGTTACCTCGACACACGTTCAACTTTTTTTGACTAAAATGATTGCATCTAAGGCATCAAAACACTCCATATACAATACTGCGGGGTGTCAACTTTTTAAATATATGCACGCTCATGGCAAGAAAATACATTGGGATATCTAATAAGGCCCCCAAAAGGAAGATAGGCAAACAAGATATGTAAAATTTGAAAAACGCATATCAGACATTTTGCTTTGCACCCCCCAGTGAACCCGACACACGTATGCATGGGTGGTATCGCTGTACTCGGGAGATGTTGATGAGCACATATTGGGGTGTCCTTTGGCAGTAACACCTAACATGAGTTTATAATCTATGCCCAAAGTAGAATGTGTGAGTTTGACAGATACTGGTGGTAGAATTAGTGGTAGAATGTAAAGTGTTGAAATCCCACCATGTGAAATGCCCTATGGTGTGTACTTTTCAAAAACATATGGTTTGACGGGGGGTGAATTACATTGGCCGGCTTCAGAAATATTCCAACTGGGACATGGGTGCATGATGGCCAGCTGTGTTTTATTTTTCCATTTTTCATCATATTTTACTTTTTTTATTCTAGTAAATTATATGATATGATGAAAATAATGGTATCTTTAGAATGAACATTTAATTGCGAGAAAAATGGTATATAATATGTATGGGTAGAATAAATGTGTAAGAGGCAAATTACATCTAAACACAAACACTGCAGAAATTTAAAAAGTGCCCTGGTCCTTAACGGTAATAAAATTTAAAAATGGCCTTGTCACTAAGGGGTTACACAAAAAGTATTTTAAAAAAATAATTAAAATATTTTATGGAATCTGTCAGGGACTCACCCTATCCTCCAGCTTCACCATGTCCTCATAGAGGTTAGCGCTGCTCTTCTCTAGCACCCACCTCCGACCCACCCACAATCCACCCGTAGTCTTCAATTATTTGCCCTGTTTAAGCAGGACTAACCTCATCAGCAATGTTGGCACACAGTCTTCATTGCCAACATGAATCTGAATGGAGTGGCATCAGTCACTCTGTTCCTATACTCCCTAACCAGTGCTAGCAATGTTGGCTAGAGAATTACCATAGAAACCAAAGCACATG